CTCTCAACTCTCCCGAGTGCAACTTGACGAACTGCGACCCAGGCCTTCACGGTCTCCTCCTTTGGCAAGTCAATCTCTTGGCTACTGCTGACAAATATCGTGGAGGATCTAAGTGAGTCGTATCATTCTCAATTTTCATTGCCATTCTCATATATCGTTTTTACCCCCTTTTTCCATTAGTGTAGTCTGGTAGTTAGCTCTAGCAGTTAGCTCTACACTAGAAAGTTTTCCATTGTATTTTTACTAAGACATTCTAATTGTTTGTAGAGACTTTTCCACTACAACAGCAAAAAATTTAATCTTTCACCTCACACCGATGGGATTACGGCCAAAGCTGCACAGATTTGCGCCTTTATTTCTTACAATTTATATCTTCCTGAGATGAAATTAAGAATTCGTTATATGCTTGTGCTTCCCATCTTAGAATACTCTTGCCCATTCTTCGGGGTGATGAATGAATGTAGCCGTTCAAAAACTGAAAATGTCCAAAATTATTTCACAAGGAAACTGCTTTATGCAAAATTTTCAAATACTTCCTGCTCAAATAGATACCAATTAATTAAACTAAAATTTCTTTGGGTCTGGAGATTGGGAACAGGCCTTGTCTCCTTTTTCGCCTTACTAAGACTACAAATTAATAGGACATTTTATCGTCAAGATAGAGACTCCATGAAGGCCTTTTCTGGCTTATTTGCCGTCGTCAGCTGAAGGTAACCTACTCCAATGTATCAGCGTAAATTGCCGCCACACTGGAGCTTCGAACCCATGTCTCTCCGGTCAGAGGCAAACACCCTAACCATTGGGCTAACTGGCCCGATGTCTTGCCGATTGTTGATCGGGGCTATCAGTGTACTGTGATCGGTGATCGGTGTACGCCTATCTGCTGATACTACAAATCTTTCAAAGCTTTCTGTCATGCTCCGTCAGCCGTCCTTATAACATGAGAAATTCTGCACTTATTATGCCTCGACGAAGTGTCATGTTTACCTCCGCTAAGTAAAAGTGACCAAGTTTTACTGCTATGGGAGTACTCTTTATTTTCAATACCCGAGAGACCCTCAACAGTCAGAAGAAATATTTGCTGAGGCGATGTGATCAAATGATGGCCAAACTCATGCGCACTGATTAGGAACCTCTATTGTTTGGAAACAGCCGCAGATTGGGAAACGTTCCGGAACATACTTCACAGGCTCATCGAAAACCACTGTCCAATTTTGCAAAAAAGGTTGACTAACAGACCGCGATGGCTTACACAGGCCTTTAAAGTATAAATTAACGAAAAGCGGAAGCTGTAAAAAAACGCTTACGGACAGGACGCCTGCATCTCTAAGTGCTATAAAACTCAGAAAAATCGAGTCAAGGGTCTTCTTCTTAGAAAAGCACAAGACATCGAAGCAGACCTGCTGAACCGTGCCACGGTGAGCCCCAAACTCTTTTACAGTTATCTCGGGCAGGGTACCAAAAACAAAGATCCGATACCCCTGCTGAGGACTGCTGAGGGTATAGACCTGATAGAGAACGAAGCAGAAGCTGATCATCTTTCGGAATTTTTCCGGTCAGTTTTCACAAAGGAACCGGCATATGATTACCCTGCTGACGACACCGACGTTTATACAATAATTGAGACTGTTCAATTCAAGGAGGCTCTTGTTCTTAAGGAACTCTTAGGGTTAAATGCATCTAAGTAACAGGGTCCCTATGAAGTAACGGCCAAGATTTTGAAAGAGCTCGCCAGTGAGTTGGCAAAACCTCTATCTACCCTATTCCAAACATCCTTCGAGACCGGTTGCCTACCAGCCGTTTGGAAAACCACGAGGATTAGGCCGCTCTACAAGGGTGGCAGCCGGGTCT